GGCTGTTGTCACTTATAAAAAATAGATATGTTTGTATCTGAAACACTAACAGTGGGTTTCTAAGCCAAAATCTCCGTTTAAAACATATTGTTTATGTTTTGTTAAAAATGACAGGGATTACGATATGTTTTAATACAGAGATTTTGGTTTCAGAAACCAACGGTAAAACTTTCCAAAATAATATCCATAGACAAAATTAATTACATTGTGAGAATATGAAATATGTAAATATAATATGAATATATGTTATCTGACGGTCATACAAAAAAAAACACTTCTAAATATGTATATTTCAAAGTGTTTATACTAGAGTTTAAACAAATATAACAACTTATTTTGGGTCAAGGTACATTAATATTCATATATACTACGGCTCCGCTATGACCGGAACTACATTTAATTAAAAATTATTAACGTTCATTAGATTTTATAAAAGTCGACAAACATGATATCTTTACGGCCCCGTGATACTTTCAAACTAGTTTCGATACGTGCGTTTAGATTTGGAGAAGGAAAAATGGCATTTTATTGCACGGTTTAAAATATTGATGACTTTGATGGCCTCTAATGATAGTGTAGTGTATAGTAATTTATAACTGACGTGGAAATAACATTTTTTATTACTTGATAAGATTCAACTGAAAAAATCAAACAAAAACAAAAGATGTCTATGGTCAAACCTCTCATCAAAACAACAGAATAACCAATTAGTTGTTATTTTGTAAGATATCTGATGATTATAAAGTACTATAAGTTAATTAACTATCGGTAAATATGAATAATAAACAAACTGTAATTCCACTGAACACAAGATCTAAACATCGTATACAACATCCATACAAACATTGTCAAAATTCATCTTTGTATTTTAATGCTGTAGTTGTAAACATTTGATTGACTGACAGATAAAAAAAAACTTCTTAAAGGCTAATTTAAAAAAGCCTTTCAGGTTAAAATATAAAAGTAATCAAACCATATAATAGTTTCTTTATTCAATTGGACATATGAAATGGCTTAAAAAAAACTATTGTTCTAAACCATAGAGATAGTTCGAAAGGTCTATTAAAGCTTTATAGTTAATCTATGGAACAAATAACGTGTAATCGATATGAATAGAGCCTGACAAAATCAAATTATAGTGGAAGCATCGAATCATGTTGTGTGGGATAGAACGTTAAAATTATTAGCAACTAGCTGTCGCCCGCGACTCCGTCCGCGCGGAATTAGTAAACTTAACTAGTAATCTGTGTTCTTTCAGGCTATGTTCTACAGTCATGTCAAATTTCATCGAGATCAGCCGTTCTGTACATACCTTCATCCAAATCCATCTATACATATAATCCATCCAAAAATATAACTAGAATTGACATATGGATAAAATCTTTCTCGATCGATTGCAAATATTTTGCAGATGGCCTGGAAGAACACATAACTAACTAAGTTTTTATTAATTCCGCGCGGACGGTGTCGCGGGCGACAGCTAGTTATTAAATATATTCTCTTGAAAACAACTGATATAATTATGTATCATAAAGACCACTTAACCTTTCATCTGATTTTAATTAAATTCTGTATGTGGACACACTAAAAACCACTTGTACCTATAAACAAACCAGAGTTCCATTTCTCCTTGTAATTACAAATAAATTTATTGAAGTCTCTCAAAGCAAAACGGACCGATTCCGTTTTAATGAGACCTGATCAAGTGCGATATTAAGTTAAAGTGAACCAGATTCGACAAAATAATGAAGCCAACTTCGATAAGTATATATAAAAACAATTAATTTACGATCCACTTAAAGTTTTTGTATATTTCATTAAAAACATTATTCTTCAATGTATCGAACAAGGTTAAAAAGAGAAAATCGTGATTTGCGAAAAAAATATTTTGAAGGCTTTTTGAGATAAACATGTAATTTACTAAAGTATTCAAAAAAGTGCATCACATTTCTTTTACTAACTGCCACATTTACCGATGGTTTGTGAGACCAAAATCTCCGTATAAACATATCATCATCCCTTTCATTATCTTTGACAAAACAGAGATAACGATATGTTTTAAACGGATGTTTTGGTCATAGAAACCCACATTTAAACATGTCTCCATATTTTGGTACATTCATCGTAATAAACACGATCGTCTTTTAGCGCAACTTTTATGTAACAACGAAACATGATTCAACATAGCCTCTTGAACTTTTACCATCGCAGCGGAGCGCATGGCTAACGGGGGCGAGTGACACTTACCTCGGCATTACACAGTAAGGAATAAGGTCATTGGGAGGCCTGTTCCGAGGTACACGTAATTTACGCAACTCGTTACGTACTCTTGCATAAATATTGCTTTTTGTTCGTTTTTGAACTGACCGCGTATCGACTACGATGACCGCAGCGAGTTGATACTTGAGATTTCTTTGGTTTTACAAATTTTAAATTTTTACAATTAAGGTACTATTTGTTTTCAAATAATATTTTATATTATTCGCTATGGCATATAGACCAAATCAAAGATTTAAGCTTTCTTTGCCCGCAAAATGTACTGTGACAAGCTTCGTTTTTTTAAATGTCTTTACATCTGAACGATTATAATCCGCTACAACATTGCATAATGATGAAAAACATCGTTGTTTTTAAAGATAAATAAATGTGATAAGCGAGTTAATATGAATGAAAACTGGTAAAGAAATAAATTGCATAATCGTACTATCCTTTCCTCGAGTATCAAGACACGTTAGATGAGTATATCTCTAGATAATAATTATTATGTAAGATACTTTCACTACGCGACTTACTTTATTAACAGTGTATCAATAGAATGCATTTGGATACTTCATTGGCTGAAATAATTATCGAAATTAGCACCTTTTGTACAACTGGCAATATAGAACGTTATAAAAAGAAAACATTTGTAAAAAGTTCTGTTATTTCACCTTTGAATTTTTTGTACTTTGTTTTTTTTTAAATCCCTTTTGTTAAAGTTTAATTGGTTAGAAAGTTATGTTTACATACAAAATAAAGGGCTGTGAATAACGCAAGCGATAATAAAATTTACACATACGCTAAATACAAGCACAAAGTTACTTAACACGGCTTTCGACTACAGATAATAAAGTCTAAATAAGTTGTCAGTTATACTTTTACGAGGAAATAGTTTAGTCGGAAAGGTTGTTTAGTTATTGCGTAAATTTAAATCTTAATTGATAGAATACTTTTCATTTAAATAAAAAAAAATTCAAAGTTTTATATGTCATATCCGGCCATTTATATTCAAAGATAAAATATTTTCTTTATAATATTGTCTTCATATAGCTAAGAGAATTCACATTAGAAGGTTTAGCAAAGATTAAAAGGTCGTAGGATTAAAAGGTTAAAATAAACCTTTTGAAGCTTCGCGTAAGAATATTCAAAGAAGGTCTTATATCTTTAAATTAATGATAGAATGAAAGCTTTCAATAAATTTCGCTTAATATCTCATTTTAGATACGAACTCGTAGCTACGATTAGAAAAGATAATCAGAGGTGCATTTTTCGACTGCTATTATCAATATCCATCAAATAATAATGTTACGATATATTAAAATGTTTAATAAAAGTGGTCTCGCGAAAATTTGTTTCAGAAATTGTATTTTACCAGAAATATTTTAGAATTTACGAGTTTCAGTTTAGTTTTTCTATGGTTTAGAGTTTTTATTCCTAAAATTTGATATAAGCCTACAATTTTTATTTCAAATATTTACTTATAACTTTCTTCTGTTATAAACCGGTTAATTGTATAGAGTTATTATTATCATATGCAAATTCAACCTCTATTCGGGGGCGACTAGTTTTGTATTTGTAGGTCACAAGCACACAAGATGGTTAAAATTCCAAATCACTACTTACGATGGAATTAAATTCATCATTTTATTTAAGCCATAAATCAAAGCTCGTATTATGACGAAAGTAAAAATGTTTTTAAACACAAACCTAAACAAAGATGAAATCTTTAATCAAGTATGAAAAGACTAGGTGAGAGATAAACAATGATTAACATCAAACGAGTCTATTAAGAAAATTTGTGATGTGCGTTTTTGTGACATTGACCAAATATGCCAAAATTTTTATAAGAATTGTAAAATTCTAATACAAATTTTGTCGATGACGTTACGAATACTTTCTCGCAAATTTTCATGCTAGGCCGTCAGATACGCTAACTTAGATTTACGAGACTTATATTAAAACTTATTTATAGTGCGTATAACATTTTCGCGTATATTTTGTATAATAGAAAATAAAAATAAGAAGAATGGATGCGTATTCGGAATACATATTTCATCGCGTGATGATAAAACTATCGAGAAAGGGCAAAACAAATTTGCCATGTCTAAAGTTGCAATTATTCTCATTGCTTTAACATCAGGAAAATTAAATGTCATACATTCAAAGTACTTCTCTCACAATTTCCTATAATCATACTATTACGCGTAGCACACTTTCATTTCATAGGCATAGTGAGATAATTCATAGGAACTTACGTAATGCGTAACATTTAAATTCACATTATGACGATGCACAAACATTTTGTTGTCTTATATTGACATGTACAAATAACACGTATTTAATACTTGTCGCGTAAAACCTGTTGTTTTTGTTTGTCAAGAAATTATCAAGGGAAAGTGAAACTTGCATGGTTATTTTACAATTATTTCGACGATAGATGCGTTTACTAATAAATTCTTTAAGCTTTATAGATATTGACCGACTTAAATAAGATATTCGCGTAAAAAATTTATCTATATAAAACTCCAGGATACTCAAAATAGCAGACACGTCTCAATACTTGTAGAATTATAAGAATATGCTTATATAATTATCCAGTCTAGTAAATTAGTACACTTTTTTTTAAATAAATATCTTCACCAATGCCTATTACGAAATGTCAAAGTGACACTTACCTGTGTGCGCGTCGGCCATGTTGCGCAGCTGTCACATGTCAGCTGTCATATGTCAAAGTGACTTACCTGTGTCAATCCGAGGCGGTAGCTGGTGACGTCGAGGTCCAGCGCGAGCAGCATGTCGTCGACGATCTGCCTGTCTGACAACGCCGCGGTCTGCTGACCGTTCTCTTGGGTTTCACTCTCCGATGTGGCCAGGAGACGATATCTATGGGACAAAAGATCCGTTTTAATCAGGATTTTAATTCTTCACGAAATTATTCAAGGTGGTATCTTACTAATCTGAATATTTGTTAGAAGGTATCTCCAGAACCACTGCATAGATCGCGCTGAAATTGATACATATATATATATAGAGCATAGTCTGGAAGAATACTTAGGGTACTAATTATTTATTTTATCTGTGCGGACGAAGCCACGGGCGACAGCTAGTAGGAAATATAAAAGTAAGCTTACCGCCTTGCGAATTCTGATAGAGGCATATGTTCAGGGAATCCTTGTTTGTAGAGTCTGGCCGCGTCGAGCAGTTGAAAGCCACGGAACTAAAAATAAATAAAAATCAGTTACTCTACTTAGTAATAATCAATAACTTGATATCATCGTGACATATAAATATTAAAAGTTCAAATTGATTTAATTGTTGTAAGACCAACCATTCATAGTAATTTCTTAGGCAAGAGCGTCGATGGCTTAGGGCTAATGCACTTGACTTGCAATCTGCAGGCCCTGGGTGTGGATTCCGCTATGTACCAACGTGTTTTTTGATTTCCGGTTTACATATGTACATTTTTTCCACGTTATTACGATAAAGTTAAACATCGTGATGCAACCTGCACATATCCTAGAAGAAATTCAAAGATATGTATGAAGTAAACCGGCACTTGGCCAGCGTGGTTGACTATAGCCAAGTCACCCTTGATAGGCTACCCCTACCCTAAGTAGGCTCCGAATCCATCGGTAGGGACATATAGTGAGCTGATGATGATGACTACGTATTTTTTCAAGATATATGTATATTATATTAGAGTACCTGTGAGCGTAGTAGCGGCACATTAACATCATCGTTGGCATCAGTAGGCTGGTTGGTGAGCAGACAGCAGACGAACTGCACTCCGCCCGCGCCGCAGCGACGTAACGTGTCCACCACACCATCGGCTACAAACTTTGCTTGTAGTGCTGTCGAGCGACGCTTCATACCCGCTGTACCTGTTATAAACAAAAATTTTATAATAATATAACCAAATATATAAAAAAATCACAGTACACAACTTTGTGTTCCATCTTTCCAATAAATTCTGTATAGAAATGTGCAGTAACCTTCCGATAACAATTATAGTGGATCCTTATTAATGATATTACGTTTATTAAATTCTGTCCCATAAAAATTGTCAACTTATAGTCAAACAATGATATCTGAACCAAAGAGAGAGGCGCTGTTATCGCGGTTGGTGACCAGAGAGACCAAAATACCCGTATAAAACATATCTTCATCCCTCTCCATTATCTAAGACAAAGCAAACATAACAAACGATTTATATAGGGATTAAGGTCTCAGAAACTATTGGAATAATAATATATTTTATTTTAGTGAAGTTGTCATCTTATTTTTAAATTTATATATTATTATTCCAATACGTTATCAGCACGAAGATTTGTAATTTTTACAAATTTTTCTTTTTGGAAATTTTTAAATTTATATATAAGAACATTTTTGACAGAATCTTTTTCATTACCAAAAAGTATTTCCAACAGAAACCAATAATAAAACATAGAATATGATATAAAAGAAAAAATGAATTGATAGCTATAGTACAAAGCGGATCTTATGTAATTTTTTGACGTTAACAGGGGGGCGCTAGTGAGTTCTTACCGGTTGACTAATGCCTACTGGGTCAGATAGCTAAACAATAACAGTAACTTCATTTACATAGTCTATGGTAAATTAATAATTTCCACATTCTAACCAGAAGTAAGCGTGCGTCGTATAGAGGAGGCGCGACGTAGAGTGGAGGCGTCTCCCACCGCGGCAGACCACGCCCCCACGCCGCACGCGCCGCGCGACCACGACGATAGCCGACCTATGTCCTCGCTGCGAACAATTTTATCATATTGAAGGATATTTATGGTATTACAACAACATAATCACGCCCATAACACAGAGGGGTAGGCAGCGACTATGAGCCAACATTTGGCGCGCTCCTGACACACCTCTCTCGCTTCATCTACATTCATACATTTGTGTTATTAGGTAATGTAAAGTAACTAAAGTTGTTTTAGAGCTTTGACTTTCATACACTAAATGAAACTTAATAATTTCGGGGATTAACTAATTAGTGATATTTGGTTAAAAAGGTCAACTGTGCTTACTCAAAACCAGAATATAAAATATTATATTTCATACATACTTTTGACTTTCCTGCAGGAGTGTATGCGCTTTCTTCGTGACTGGATTCTCTCGGCTCGCCTTCACCCATCCGGTCACGTCGTATAACACGGGATTAGTACCCTATAAAAAAAGGTTAATTTTAAAGCTGACACTTGTGAGAGGAATTCCAGGCACAAAAAAAAACCCTGGTATTCGTACAATGGTATAAAAATGTAGCAATTAATATTGCCTATGTTACTCAATGGTCATATATCTTTTTAATGGCAAAATAATTATTAAAAACTATCAAGTAGTTTTTGAGTTTATTTGTTACATACAAAACTATTTTTTTTTCTTCTATGTAATGTAAGATATACTAAGTATATTGTATTAGTTTAGTCCTTATTATGTATTTACCTGTAAATGTTGTAACAGAAACTGTCTAGCATGAGGGGCTTTCTTAATAAGATAGTGCGTGTGATGAGGAGGTCCGTAGTGCGTCAGCGCGCGCTCCAGGAACGAGTCATCTGACGAGCCGGGGTACATCGATTCCTCATCTAAAAGCCTGCAAAAATAAACTACATTATAGTGGGTTTTGTAAAAAAAACCTGTGTAAGTACATATTGGTATCTGACAAAATGTTTTTGGAAAGACGATTCGACTTCGAAAACTAAAAACAACCTAAAAACCGAAATTAATCATTTTGTCCATTATTCATTAAACCGTAACTTTTTAATAGTCACACTCAGATTTGTCATATTAAAACTACACTAAGGGTAGTCGTTAGCGAACACTTAAGGACAGTGAGCATGGTAATATACTGGATAGATTTAATCTTACCATAACAATCCCCGTCGATCGCAATCTCTGAGATCGGCTTGTGAACTGCGCACTATAGAATTCTGCGGCGATTTGTCCAGTAATTCTACCATTGGTCCGGGATTTACTGTCTCCGATAGCCAATCTGAAAAGCAAAATTTATTTATATCGACCTAGCTAAAAAAAAAACTTAGTACCCTACGTGTTCTTCCAGAACATATTGTGTACATCTATGCCAAATTCCAGCTAGATCCATACAGCTGTTCTGGAGATATAGTTAAATAAACATTCATCCATCCATACATACAAACTTCCTTATTCATAATATTAGTAGATACTGTGAAGGTGTTCGATCTTCGAAGGGCTTAAGACATTAATAATTTAATTCTTTAATTGTGTATTGCTTTTATTATAAGTTTACGACTTTCTATTCCCTCTTAATTTTGGGTGAATTCGAACTATAATCCGCCAACATACCTTCTTCAGTGCCATCGTCGAGGGTGATGCCCTCCTGCGCGTATCTCTCTCTTGGCGCGACAAGCATGGCGTCGTGGAACACCGCTTGTAAGCGTTCCTATAAAAATAAATACATCAAACTGCATAACAAATTACCATCGTATATTATTAAATCATATATTGCAGTTAAGATATTGCTAAGTCTCTTTATTAAAGGTTTGTTACTAAGAATTTCAAACATAGTGCGCTTACTGTGACCTAGAAATCTAGTATAACCCGGTCACTATCTAAATTCTTAATTCAAGTAGTTGCTCGTGAGTAGTAGTATAGTAGTTTTCAAATATCTTGGCAGATCCAAACCTCACGCGAACTGCTACGGGTGATACAATTTTAGTTTTGTTGGGCTTTGCGCAGTGCATCGATGACCTTGAGCCATCAAGATATTTGAAAATAACTATACATTTTAAAGTACCTCCTATTTAGATTACTTTTAAATTTAAATAGGAAAACTAAATCTAATAATGACCTGTAAATAATTAGAGAGCAGTTTGGAGAGAGGAGCTCCGTTCTGTTGTCCAGCACACATCGGGTTGTCGGCGCCGGGCGTGTCCAGCAGCAAGATGGACGCTGATGTCCTCGCAGATGTCGACAGACTCCTAAAAACATACGTTTATTTACTGTAAAAAAATCATTTAACTAATTTCATGTAACTTTTCTTAGACTAGAATTTAATCTTTTATAGATTATGTTTAGCTAAAATAAGCACGATTGTATACAAGTCATATTAAGAACATCTTACAAACCTGTTGACAAGAGCAGCGACGATGTTGAACGTCTCATTGTACAATCCAGTGACGAAAGCATCCAATGCTTCTGACCCGGGGACCTCTCTGTCGCTTGATGGTGAAGGCGTTCTGAAAAATTACATAATCTACATTCAGAGGAGTAAAACATATTCAACTTTTACCTGAAATAATAACTGATAAATAATAACTTCCAACCGGGATGAACGAGAATTCAAGGGACTGCGATATTTTTCTTGCTTATATAGATTTCTCCTTTACATAGATTTGACGTAGGTGTGACTATAAAACTGAAATTGTAGTACAACAAGCCAATGTTACACTGGGTTTTTTTAATTGCTTATTACTAAAACTTTAACATACCTAAGCGCAGTGGCGGTCTGGGGCGAGGTGGGTGCGGGGGGAGCGAACACAGCTCGCGACAGCTCGTCCACGCCCACGCCCAGCAGGCGCGCCGCACGGCTCGCGCACCCGCTGCTGCCGAACTGGTATTTCAAACCGGAACCTGCATTCGCTGCACACAATACAATATTCATCATCATCAGCTCACTTATAAGTCCCCACAGAGAGGCTTGGAGCCTAACATAAGTAACGGGGTGACTAGGCCACATTCAACCATTAACCCAGTAAGGGTTAGTTGACTTCACGCACACAATTTTTTTTAACACATGACAATATACAATGCCGTGAATAACCAAAAGTGGTTCGGGATCATTATTTACGTGTATTCAAAAACAAGATTAAACATACCTTTTGTAACGCCACACCATCCTAAATGGCATATAGCAGCGAGTATCTTCCACACCACAGTCTGTTCGGGCTCAGTAACAGAGAGCGCGTGCAATGCTTCCTTCAGTGCTGAGAACTCTGCAGGTGCTTCTGCCTTGTCTGTGCTCGTGAGGAATGGATTGGGAGCGTTCACTGGCGCTTGGTCGAGCAACAACTCGCGACGAAGACGACCGTCGCTGCCGTGGAATAATCTGGAATGATAGACACAAGTACAATCAGCTGCATAAATATGTAAACATTAAAAAAACTTTAGAAACTTATAAAGTGAGGTTTTAAAACTATATATTAGTCATTAGCATGTATTTATGGTCGGAAACATACGTGCATGGATATTTTTGATACAGAACGCGCATACACGTCTTGAAGCTTTGTACATGTATACATAAATATGTAAGTCGGCTGCATAAATATGCAGCCGACTGTACAGGCTATAATTCGAAAACAAAAATAGTGGTACTAATTAAACTTATTATCTCAGAACTGTGTGTCTATGTTTCAATGTGACCGTGCTGCCTTCATCAATGAAACGATTTTTAAAAGTGAAGTGTTCATTTTACATTCTAAAACAGTTTTGTGTAGACTTACGTGTGTAAAGCCCTTAAAGGCGACTGTCCAGGTCTAAAATCAGGCAGCAGGGTCTGCACTGACGCGGACACAAGCGCGCCGCCGCCATCAAAGTCCAATGACGTCAACGAAACGAAGCGAGACGCGTGAGGATTTGAACTTGTTCTGCAAGAAAAAAATCAAATGGTAATAACAAAATCCTCTCGAAAACTGAAAAATAAACCAAGATTTCACTAAAACACAGTCTTTTGGATAAAAATTAATTTCACCATTTAAATGTTAATATTAACATGATAATCTCACCGACTTGATCCGAATGCGTGAAGAACATCAAAAGCCGCATTCAAGCGATCGGGCGTAAGCTTCGAGCCTTGTGCGGGGTATGCACTTGCCAAGTACCAAACACAGTGACGCATGGCTGAAGTTTTACCCGAACCAGACCTGAAAGATGGAAATACGACTATGTTTAATACTAAGTTCATTCTAAAGGTACATTACATACAAGTTATAACATTTTAGCTTTCCGAAAATTTTGAGTTTTTAAAACATCATTCAAAACAACATAGTCAAGTGCATTTTATCTTATTCAACAGTATGAGTGGGCAAATGTAACCTAAGAAGGGATAATAAGGAAGGGGAGATATAATCCTGCTGTACATTCCCTCTTCTGTCGCTTAAAGACAAGGCAACGCATCTGCAAATACGGATGTCTATGGGCAGAGGTCACTAGGCCGTTTTTGGAAAATTTATCTGGCCGCTTGCTCGTTTACCACATTATACTATGAAAAAAGGTCTACTTTGAGTAATAAACGATAACTCAGTTAGAAAAATAACTCGATTTAAATATTTCTTAATAATGTATCTACCAAATTTAATGGATTAAAATTATTCGTTTTCACAATTTACATTTTATTATTTATTATTTTAGTATTTTACTCCAACAATACTTAAAGTATTGTTCACTTGAGTATTGTACATGTAAAACAAATGAAACGTCATTTCTTCTTGTTCCAGTTTTCATTCGAGGCTGGTTGACGTCATGGGACAAAACAATATTTCACTAGCTATGTATGACGATGTCCTACACTTTTTACAATCAAGTTGTGAGTCATTTTGTTAAATAAAATTAAAAAAATTAATCTTCTAGGTTTTGCTCGCGACTCTGTTCGCGCGGAATCAAAGGAAGAAACTTAGTAAGTAGCCTATGTGTTCTTGCAGACTATGTTCTACATCTATGTCAAATTTCAGCGAGATCCAAGCAGCCGTTCTGCAGATACCTTCTATTAAATCATCCATCCATATAAAAATTTGCATTCATAATATTAGTAAGAAGTAAGATTACAATCTGTGTTTTCTAGATTTCCAAATTTTTAAAAAACCTGTATTTTTATTAGCATTGAATCTTAAATTACTTTCTTAAATAATGTCGTCCGTCGGAACTGGTTTTGCATAATGAGTGTTGAATAACAATAGACAATAGAGCTCGTTGTGGAAACCTTGAACTTATGCAACCACGTAATAAACAAGAAATATACTAATGAATATTATATTAACTTGTTATAAAAAAAGATATTAAATGTGCTTTATTATAAAACTAGCTGTCGCCCGTGACTCCGTCCTCACGGAATTAAGAAATATAATAATTTGCAGCCTGAGTTCTTCCAAACTATGTTCTATATGTAATCTCAAATCTTTGCGTGATTCGTTAAACTGTTCTGGATATATGTAATAACAAACATGCATCCATCCATCCATCAGAACTTTTGACATTTGGAAAATTAGTAAGAAGTAAATATATGTATAGTAAACAACCTGTAAGTATTTATTTCAAAGAATTTTACGATTACAATACGTTTTCTGTAACAATATTTCCTTATTGGAACGAATAATATAAATGGAGATGCCTAAACATAGCACATTCTTGATTTAAGATTATCCGCCATCGTTAAACATCAAAGGGAAGCGGTTCCTTTTAAAGTTTTCTTAAACTAACTACAGCCAACCAGAACATATTATATTGACTCGTACAGTTTGATATTTTATTTTATCTTTACATACAATTAAATTTTTATCTAATGTGAATTAAAAAAACAACTATCCTCTTAATAGTTTCAAATACAAGTTTCTTTTAGAATTTTCCCCCTATCTCATTTAAACGAAATTTATTTCCATGATTACCCAATTAATATTCTTTAGCCTTATCATTGGACTGAAAATAAAAAAAGTAAACGAACAAAATGGTTGAAGATAATAAAGTAAAGGACATCGTTATCAATTCAATTCACAAAATAAAGGTCTTTGAATGTTAAATGCAAAGAAAACTGTAGCGAACTTACTTTAAGTGACTAATATCGAAAATTTTCTCATCTATTAATATTTATGTCATATCTTCCTGTCCGTATACCTAATAGGGTCGTCGGTCGTACCCCTGATCGATCTAAGTAATTATAATCGATTCTTACCTTCCCAAAAATACGATAGCACGGTCTCTTCTTGAGGCCAGCATACATCGGTGCGCTGACTGGGCGGCAGCGAACACATGAGGAGGCATATCATCTGCACGGCAGCCGCGGAACATGGCTGCGACCTAGAAATTACAACAAGAAGACATTTAATATTTGTTACTAATCGCATTCGCGTTTTGCTACTTTGAATAGGAAAACATATCATTTTCATAGGTTGATAAATAATTTAATCCGTAAAAATTGAACTTTGTAGAATGTTTAAATTTTATACAAAGGGAAGAGAAATGTAATGTAACATCAAGTTTGTAGGTATATCCACAGCTGGTTAAAAAAAAAACTCCAATCGTAGTATTGGTGCATTCAGACATACCTTTTCCGTGTATATAGGCGCGGTCCGCCTCGGCGGCCCGAGTACCAGGAGTGCATGACCGGCGCGTGCGTGCGGCAATCCTGCTGCGTATCGCGAGCGCAGCACGTGCAACGCGCCGCATTCGTTCAGGCAACGAAGCGAAGCTATGTCTTCGCAACGCTCCAACTGAGGTGGGTTCGCCTGGAATATGGATATAATGAACTAAATTATCAAAACGATTTACAATAAACATTAATTACGATTCGGATCCGATGTACTAGTAAATCATAAAACGACTGGTTAAAAATAAACATATTTCATCAACATTACACGCAAAGGTGTTTCTCATATTTAAATTCTATCTTCGACCGACTAATGTAACGCATAGGGAAAAATGTAGCAATATGACCGAGAAAACATCATTTGTAAGTAAATTTAACTCAGTAACCGGTCGAGTTGGACCAAAATTACAAGAAATTATTATGTAAAGAGCATCTATCGATCACGGTTTTTCGTAATCATTTGATTTATTAATACATGTTTTATCATGAGGTCATAGTTTAAAATCATAAATAGCTCTCTATTATATTTATTTACATCTTTACAATTTGTGTTACTTCATCACCTGAAGTTCTACGCCTAAAATATAAAACACTTTAAACTATCACACATAAGGTACTGGACAAACTCCCGCTTGGAGTCTGGGGGTATGCGCGCGGACTGTGCTTATTGTGAGGGTGGTTACTATTCAGCTGGGGCAGCAGTTGGGGCAAATGCAAGGTATTACGTCAAACTATCTCCCCTTATCTTGTATATCTTGGTGACTAAACAGCTATGAGTGAGGCAATTTGTTCTCTTTATATTTTATATTTATATAATACTACAACAAACCTTTTCTAGATCATCTTCATCAACCATGAGTGTCTCTCCAGTGTGGAGCACGCGGACCTTGGCTCGGCCTGTGTCGCCATCGCCCTCTCTGACCACGGCTGTGAAGCCGCCGCGGTGTGCCAGCCACATATGTCCCGCTGCCAGCCATTCCTTCTCGCACGCTAATTGCTCTTCCGACTTTGCCTGAAAACAAACCAAAATCAACGTTACATATCAAATTCAAATACTAAACAATAATATTTGAAGAAAATATTTAAATACCACACGGTATACAATAAAGACAATAGTGTAATGATATTATATATAATTATTGTAATCATTGCACTGAGCTTGCGCTTGTAATCAGAAGCGAGCCGTCGAAGTTCGTATTCGGGCCCATCATCGAGAGACCAGAATGTTGGTTCTATAATTTTCTATGACAAACTTTATGTAAGGCAAAATAGAGATTTAATCGGACAGCAAAAACATCTGCATTATGTTAAAAGATTCCAATTGTGAACTGAAGACCACGAACAATTCAAAGTATACCAAAATATGTGATGAAATAAAAAAGAAGTAAATTTCAATGAAACCAAGCTCAATGATGCTTGAAGCTGCAACTTTCTATGCGTCCGTGCGTGTATGCAGTGCTAATATGCTTCATTGGTAGCACATTAGCGGCAACCAGCGGTTCATTTGCATAACTTTCGACATAACAATGTCTCGAACTTGACCTATTTTTAATTGTTTACCAGTTTGCTTAAGATTATGAAGTTTTAGTGCGTATAACAGTAGGCTAGTTATACATGTAAGCTAAAACAAATCCGTATGACTCAAAGATAACTTGAACATAATTGAATTGTAGTCATAACAATTAGAAACCAACTGTAGTTATAACTTGATTTAAATAAAGGTTCAAATCTTCCTTCTTACTTAATGTTATAAATGCAAATGTTTGGATGGATGTTTGTTTGAAGGTATCCCCAGAACGGCTGTATGGATTTCGCTGAAATTGAGCATACATGTAGAAGATAGTCTGGAAGAACACATAAGCAACTTATTTAGTTTATTTATAATGCCGCATGGACAGAGACGCGGGCTAAAGCTCGTTATTATTATTTTCTATTGTAGACTATTAGGCACCAGAGAGGACGTTTATTTTATTATCACTATTACACCGACATACATAACATGCAACAGTAGGATGTGATCTTTGCGAATACAAATGAATACTGCATACATTACAGGACCTTGAAGTCACAGAAACGAGCACAATGTTAGTACAATGATAGTTTAGTTTGCGCGGCGCGTTTACTGGTACATATCAATAGATCGTTAGCAATTACTAAAGGCCCGACCACCTGCAAAACACAAGACGTGACTCATTCATGTTACCATCAATTGACTCCGCAACGAATCGCTAAACAATTTTAACGCGATTTAAAGGAATTAATGAAGAAGCAAAATCATAGAGATTTATCAAAAGTCGAGGTAGCCGTCTTAAGAGGCGTACAATTCACATTTGCTGGCTTAAAAGATTTTGTTCAAATTAGTATCTTTCTATACACTTTATTTAATACACCCCAAATGATCACCTGACGTCAGTAGTGGCATTAGGTTAGGGCGAGGTGGTGCGACCGCCCAGAGCGCCGGGCGTAAGGGGGCGCCTAATATTGGAATATTTCCTCTTAAACCAAAATAAGGGACGTGGCAAAAATCTCGCCGAATGCGCCAGAACTGCTAAAACCGGCCCTGATGTTGCGCTTCTATTACTACTCTCCCACATTCAAATACGTAAAGATATAGGAAGTCAACTTAAAATTGTTTTCCTCATTACAACAACCTACGTGCTCGTGTAAGATATTCAATTATTAAATTATTATACACAAAACCTTTGAATGTAAATGTAATTTTAAATAATAATTAGTATAAGTGGGAGGTTACACAAAAGGTCGAATTGTTACTCCTTCAAATCAATTATTTCACGATTAATTTATTTCAGAGGAAAGGTATTTTCGCAATGGGTAAATTCAATAGACTATTATGAATAATTATTATATTAAATTTTTATATATGTGATTTTGTCCATCATCTTAGGATTCCTATGCTTTTTGATAGATGATTGCATTTTACGTTATTATTCAAACAATTATTACGATATGATACGATTTAAGTAGTCTGCTGATATATCAATAAAAAATGTATAAAACGGAGATGCGACTGGTGGAAAGAAAAGAAAGCCTGGTGTAATACATTCTTCCGTTGTTATGGATTTCAACAACTACAACTTTCACAATATTGTCCTAAACATTTTACAAAGATCAAGCAGTTTCATTATTCACAAAATGCTATAATCTACGCAATATATAATTCTTAGTTCAACATTCACGACATAATTTAATAATAGTAAAATTGCTATTGTCAGTCGTAAAATGAACTGTAGCAAGTTTACAACAAAATTACTGCATTGCAGTGTAGCATTTACACTGCAGGTAACTGCATATAAATTGCGATACTATAGCGCCTTATCAGAGCCCGAATTCCTATATTGTATACCGAATTTAACTACTGAGAACTAGACCTACTAGAAGTAACAGAAATTATCACGTAAAGATACTGCTGAGAACCAAAATATAAGAAATTGTATCTAGTAAAAAGGTGTAAATACTTCATCACTCTCAATTCACTGAAAGCAATTTTACAGCATATATAAATTACAAGTTAGACTTAAATTTATATTTAGCTCCCCCGGAAACATCAATGCGGCCTGGTTGCCGTACGAAGATCGATTAGGGTACGAACACACTTGTGCGTAACGCGAGTGCGCAGTGAGATGCGCGATAAACCACTCGAAAACATTCAATTGCATAATGGTACTATCGCAGTTCAATGAACTTGAATTCGCGGGGATTTTATAAATGGTACTTAAAGATTTAACCGATTTCGTATTAACGAGAAATTCAATTTCACACCTGTATTGAAACATATTGTTGTCTCTTTTTTTTTACAAATAGAATGAAACGGTTGTTTTATGATTATTTTTCTGACGTTTTTTATAAATTACTAGCTGCCGCGTGCGACTCCGTCCGCGCGGAATAAAAAAAAATAGTAGCCTATGGTTTCTTCCAGGCTATGTTCTACATCTATGCCAAATTTCAGCGAGATCCATGCAGCCGTTCAGGAGATACCTTCAAACAAACATCCATCCATCCATCTAAACTTTCGCATTTATAACATTAGTAATAAGTAATACACTATAAATAAGAATATAGAGTAAACAACAAATTATTATGTCGTTAATATGTCGGCACCCTTACACCGTTAGAGTACACAAAGAGAGACATTTACGGCTTCATTTTATTAGTTAGCAGGTGTCTCATAGACACGAGCGGTCGCAGTGACCTACTAAACACATTTGTTATGGTTTTACATAATATAACAGTAACGCCATGAACATCACGATGAAACTACCTATAGATAACATAAACAAGGTCAATTTTCACTATTTGTTAAATATTTCAGACATAAACATACCTTTACACATCTTCTATCTCTATATACACATGATTATTATCCTATAAGTATATAAGCAGTTCTACTTTCTTTCTGTTTATCTATTATTTGCATCTATAATATATGAAAGTATACAAAATACTATGATTTTTTTACACTTAAATTGACAGTATTTTATAATACCTATTTAGATTTATAGGTTAATTTCTATTGGACAAATTGGAAATCGTCACTGAACTTAATGTGGGAATCGATTAGAAGATCTAATCGATAAAAAGCTCATGCTGAATAATCGAGAAACATGGTACAATATCGACTTTCATGTGCAGCCAGCTATATGTTAGTGTTAATGAAGAACAACTTATGGGACAAGAGGAAATCGTTAACGATGAACACTGGTAGATAGCGAAGACCAGTTTTCATGTTTATATTTGAGAGTTTTACACCCATTCGCGATGTAAACCCGTTAGTTCTGCAGCACAAGAAAAATAGAGTATTATTATTATTTTAATTATAATTAAAAAGATACATTAATTGGAAACTAGAGTATACAAACATCACTAATCTACCAATGACACGTGTCGTAGTAGTTAAATAAACCTATGAATACAAAGTAATAAGAGTGTTAGTACACTAGCAAACTGGGTGCACGGGTGTCCGGAATCTGTACTCTATCTTGTACCTCGCCACAGATCTGGTTGTTATACATAAATAACGACAGTGTTACCAGCATTGAACAATTGTAACGACACAGAAATAGATCGTATTATAATTTAAATTGCCTCCATACTTTAATACATTTCCGATAACTTATAAATGTCACTGGCTAGCTGTAAAGATAACCGTAAACGTAAATAAAAAAATAAAATTTATAAAAATTTAATAGCATTAAAAGAAGTTATACTGTTTTTAATTCACATAAAACGTTGCTTTAGTTTAACTGTTTTATACCTGGACTAGCTATCGCCTGCGACTCCGACTGCGCGGAATTAATAAAAACATAATTAGGAGCCTATGTGTTCTTATATGCCAAAATTCATCGAGATCCATTTAGCCGTTCTGGAGCTACCTTCAAACAAACAGCCATCCATCCATCTAAACATTCACATTTATAATATTAGTAAAAATTAAGATTACTTACAACGATTCTATCAATTGACAGCAGTTACAATTGTCATGAAAAACTAACAGATGTTTAATATTATAGCTATCAGCATTTCATACATGTGGTTAAGCAATGATTACTAATCGGAACATAATAGTAAGCTTTCATTCTGTAATGTTTTTCATTTGAATTTTAAACTGGAAATTTAAAACACAGTTTATCAAATTAGGTGTATTTTATTTTGATCGTCCAAACGATGCATATAGATCGATACGTAATGTGCAATTATTGACTAACGTTTCAAAGATAGAATTAATTAAATTATATTAAGCCTAATTTATAATCATGATTAATTTATATTTCCCTCCATTGAATAAACAACATGTTTATACTGCCTTAATCAATATGCAAGTTTAGATAAAACATGTAAGTAATCGATTTAAAGAAACGAGACGAAAGAAAAAATCAAAATTATGGACAAAAATGTTGTAGAATGTTGATAGATCACAGAGTAATAACAGTCACAGTAGAATTTAAGTCATAGAGTAATAAAAGTTGCAGTACAAGTTTCTAATAAGGTCGTAAT